CTGGGTTCTCTGAAAACCCAGATCTAGAACCCAGCTCGGGTTCTCTGGTGAGAACCCAATCTGGGTTCTCACCAGAGAAATAAGAGGAGAGAGAAAAACAGGTTGGGTAACAAACACCGTGATTTTGCATAACGAAAATAGTTAGGGTGTAATAAAATGTGTAACGTTAAAGGGTGTGTATATCTTTTATCCTATCCAAAAACTAGATAGAATGTCAAACTGGTTTCATCAGATCATTGAATTCTTGAAAATTCAAACCATAAATGGTATTCCAAGCAAACCTGTTGGCGGACTTAACCATGTAGTTATCATTAGCAATGCACTTCCAAATGAGACGATCTTTAGTGCATCTATTGCATAGTCAAATGTGCTTTATTTTTTCTATGTTCTCAAGTAAAAAAATTGTTGTATAATCTAATATAATAATTAATGTTATATAATAATTCAATTTAAAGAAACTAATTCTAATATATATAATAATTAATGTTGTCTACTCCCACCTATTGCCTTAGAAAAATTGGTAAGCCCGATTGAAATGTCCAACGTTTAAGTCGCCACGTGTTTTTTGAAAGGTCTAACGTTTCTCAATTTCCTCAGCCGCCGCGGCCAGCATCAACTTCAACCAATTAATGCGATTGTAATGGATTTGTGGGCCTTTGTGGCAAGAGAAGACAACCTCCTTCAAGGTGTCGGTCGGACTTCCATCACTGGAACTGTATTCCCGTTCACACAGAAACGAAGAATTCGTCTCCAGTCTCTACACACTCCATCAGAATCGTTCGCACGAGGTGCACGGATAGTAGGATCATATCATTGGACAGTCCATTTCCCCACATCGTGTGGGGTGGGGCCTTGGAGTTGGGAATGCCAGTGGGGCGGTGTGGCATCATTTATTCATCTATTAACTCTTACATCTACAGCCCATTTACAGTCACATTTCAGCAATTACCCAGAAGTTGAAGTCTGGAACATGAAATTTCTTGGCAAAACATGCAGATCACCCCCTTAACTCACCTATTGGTGGCAAATCACCCCCTCAACCCACTTTACGCGCAGATCACCCCCTCAACTCACCT